TATATATATATATATATATATATATATATAGACGGGATTCGATATACTTTTAACGATATATCTACAAAATCACATTGTGTGAGGGATGATCGATCACCTTGGGCTTGTTATCTGACTCCCACTTGTCCAGTTCGCGCGAGATTTCACGCTGCACGGCTTCCTTCTTGTCGTCCACTTCATATTTCACCTACCATATCCATAAATATATATATATACGATCTTTTACGACGCTGCTTATATATAATATATATCCAACAAAACCAAATACCCATTATCATCACCATCATCCAATCACCCATGTACGCTAGCTACCTCCACGTCACCAGTACATACACACTCGTGCCAACTAGGAATACACAAACAATAGTCCAAATATTCCATATATATATATATATATATATATATATATATATATATATATATTACCTTGAGATGGAACAGCGCCGCGACAGGCTTGTGGTCCGACATGTCGAGCTCCATGGCGGCGCCATAATGCTGCAACGCCACCGTGTCGGCCTTGGCTTTCCACAAGATACGATCGCACCTACTCATGTTTATATTTAAAAATACAAAAAAATATATATCCTTTCCAGTTGCTCCAGTCGTTGCTCACAAACGTACCACGCCGGCGCGCGCACTTTTTTCTCGGGTCGGCGGTCATATAACGACGTACCCGCCTGGAACTTGTACGTAGGTGCAAACCTAATCGGCCCTTCTTCAAACCCGTGGAACACATTGCCTTTTTCCCGTTCTTGGGTCAACTACACACAACAATAGATGCTTAATATATATATATTTATGAAAAGAAATCATGGCAACCTTTGCACAAACGTCAAATATATACTGGGGGGTCCTTGGTATTCCGAATATAATTATTTAAAACCTTCTCTTTATCTATATATATATATGCCAATATTTCGATGGATTTGAAGACATTCGCAAGATATATATATATATATATATTTACTTGTATCACATAGGAAATGAAAAGGTGCAGAGTAAATGTATATATATATATAATTGCAACATATATGCACACATGTTATGTACGGGTGGGCGAGATATCAACCTGATCCTTGCATTATTCCAAATTATCTACAACCCCTTCTCTATCTCTGTACATTTATAAAAACAAACATATTTACCAACAATCCATATAAATATAAATATGCATATGTACACTTGTATATAATTGGTCTCAAAATAGAAGGGGATATAAACACGTCAGTCATACAAGTCCTATATATATATATATATA